CGGCGTCCCGAGGAGCGGCCGGGCGGGAGCGGGGAGCTGCCCCGCCACGCGGCACAGCCGGCTCTGCGGCCTCCCCCGGCTCTTCGGGGACAGGGGCCTTCAACCACACGTGGATTTCAGCACACAAACAGGGAATAAAACAACAAGCACTCTGTAAACTCCGGCCACTCCGTGCTTGGGGTCTACAGAGAAGATGAGGTTGGTTGGCCAAGCTCGCTCCGAGCCCCTCTCTGCTCGGAGGCAGCGTGCTCGGGATATCTCCAGGGCTCCAGAGTCAGCCTTGTTCGCAGAAAGATTCTCACTGGAAAGCCAGGACATTCCTTCACTCTTTACAAAGGTTTGGCAAAACACACAATTAAAAAAAAATAAATCATAGTTACAACAGATTCAGGTTCATTTCATTTAAAGGAAATTCAACCAACAGGAGTGTAAAAGTTATAATTCACAGTTATGCATTTAAGATATTAGTGTTGAAAACCTCACTTCAAAGAACTTTTGTGCAAAATTGTATTGACAGTAGAAACCATGGCTAGATGCCCTCCCAGCCTCCCAAGCCATCTGGGTCATCATCTGCCCCTCTGCCTGTACCGGGAGGCAGATGGCCAAGGCGAACAACAAAGGCAGTAGGAGTTGACGAACGGAGATGCAGTATCCTTCCCACAAGTCAAAGCCTGGCCAAGGGCTGAGGTCAAGTCCAGCAATTCCCAAAGCCATCGGCTGGGGCCCTGCGCTACCACAGTGTCTGACAGCTCTGCCACGTGGCGCTGCGGCAAGAAATCCAGCGTGAGAGCCCAGCCGAACGCCGCGAGGCCACCAGCAGCCAGAGACACCAGCCCTGCCCTGGCATCACTGCAGGTGCAGGAGTCACAGCATTTCCAGCACCAAGGGAAAGCCAAGACTCTGCCTTTGCAAACACTGTCCACAGCCTCAGACGTAATCCTGAGCTGGGCACAGGGCTCCTCTATTTATATAGGTTCCCACAGCAAGGGCTGGGAACCCCTTTCATCTGTGAAACAGTAAAACTGGAAATACCCTGAGAACAGGGAGTCTGGATTTTTCCCCTCTGTGGAGAGGACCATGCCCTGCTCTTCAAGCTAATTAGTAGTAGCAGCTCCTAACCCCTCTGGGTCAGGTACATATTTTCCATATGAAACACATCTATAATCAACTATTTTTATGGAAATTATTTCACTTTCCATTATTGGAACTGTACAAATGACGACAAAACAGTCATGCAAAAATTGCCTGCAAATTTTAGAACAGTGCAGCACGGGCAGAAGCAGGAGGTATTTGCTTTGGGATCACATGGCTTTGGTTGGAAAAACAGGCTTTTTTTTTTTTTTTTTTAAATGGAAACAGACACTAAAACAAACCCACAACCTGACATAAGAAGCAGAAGTAAGAGCGAGCAAGCAACGCTGTCCCAGAGAACGAGCTGCCTTGACTTGAGCCTTCCCTTCTTTGGCAGGGGTGACAGGATGGATACTGCATCTCAGGGTCACCACCGTGTCAAGCACTTTCAATAAACGTTTACATTCAGCAACACTGGATGAATGGGGAGACGCGTCACCGGCCCCACCAGGACAAGGGCTCTAACACGTCGCCGCTTGGCTGCGTGCGAAAGGTGCAAACCCAGCAGATCCGCAGGGAGAAGTGGGGCTGACACCGGCTGGCCCAACGCTGGGTCCGTGGTCGTGGTGGGACGGTGCAGCTGGGGACACGTCGCTGCGAGGCTGGAGGCTCCCTCTGAGCTGGGGAAAGCCGGGACTCCAAACAGTGAATAAAAGCTGAACATGTGAGCCAAGTTTGGGGGCTGGTTTCCTTACCGCTCCCCGCACACGTTGGATACCGTGGAATTTCTATGCCCCCTTGTGGGGACTTTACCCTTCCAGATTGCCGCCCCTTCTGAGAAGGAAAGTGCATCCTTCCATCGGAGGCTGTTTGCAGAGAGGAGAGCAAAAAATTAGGGCTGCTCCCTGAAGCTGAGAGAGCGTGAGAGCGAGCCCCACGCTCGAAAGCCACGCGCCCCGATTGCCTGCAGGGAGTTACTGCAGCAAAATATTGCACCTTTCCAGGAAACACTTGCAAAGACGGATCATGGGAGCTCACAGGCAAGTGGCTGCCCTAAAGAGAGCAGGAGAGGTGTGGGGCAGGACAGAGAGCTCTGGCAGTTGCGTGTGGGACCGGGGGTTTCTCTGAGGGTCAGGTGGGACTATCTGAGTAAAGAAAGGAAGGGAAATGCTACATAACCAGGGCCACAGAACAGTTTTGAACCAGAGAACTCAATGCCTCATTTGCTCTTCTCTCCAGAACCTAATACTAAAGGCAAAGTTCAGAAGTTGAACAACACTGGAAGGGGAGATTATCCGGAGAGGGGGACGTGACTTCTACTTTAGGACCTGTTTGGGGCTTAGAAGTCCACTTGAGCAAGCGGGAAGCCCAAGGTGTGACACACAAGTGCCACAGGGTCCTCTTGCACCCTGGCCATGGGCACGTTTTCAGCGTGGAGGAACTGGTTTCTGCTGCTTGACACGTGCTGTCCTGCACTAACAGCAGCCAGGTGGGAGGCTCTCTGTTGGGCTACCATGGCAATCCCTAGAACGGCTGTTAAAAAAGGAGAGAGAGCGAAAGAAAGAAGGAACTACGCTGAATTTTCTCGAGGGAAGGAATGTGGCTGGGAATGGCCTGGAAGTGAACCTCTCTGAATCCCTGAAGTGCAATACACTTGTGTCTGGAAAGTAGTGTCAGTTCTTGGAGAGGACAGGATGGTCCCAGCCCCTCAGCGGAACCCATCCTTGCACTGGCAGAGGTTTACTGTCACCTGGAGGATGTCCTTTGGGCTTAATAGTAGCAGCATCTTTTCTGTTAACGTTAAAGAGTTTTAAGTGGGGAACAGGGAGCGTTGCTCTCTGTTACTTAGCAAAAATGTGAGTCCATTGTGGCCAAGGTAGCTGCAAACAGACTATTACGGCACATGGCCATTTAAAGTCTGTCACTTTGGGGTGCAGAGTCAACTTAATGATGCAATTCTGAGAACATCAGAGGAAAATCACCCAGTTACACCACTGTGGGAAGCTACCCTGGCTTTCATTTCACAAGACTGTCATTTCGCTAACGAACTCCTTCTCCCCAGTATCATGTTTAACATACACAAGGTTTTTGGAGGTTACAAAACTAAGTGTAACAATGCTTTTGTCTGCTTTACAAAGAAACCTTCTCAACTTTGAAGATTATTACATACCAAATGATATTACATACCAAAATGACCACTCCTTCCCTGAAACTTAACTGCAAGAATGCAATGATACGCATCCCTTGACCCTCCAGGTGGCTGAAACCAGAGGTTCCTTGAAGCTTGCACATTGTTAGGAGACAAACACATACAAGTACCGTTTCTAACTTCTTCAACAGGGCAACAAAAAGACCCAGAAAGAGGTGAAAAGAGGTCTAAGGACATTGGAGCCAACTTACAAAACCACAGTAGAGCTTACTTCAGGTTGGGGAGGGACAGAAACAATTTAAAACTCTGCAAAATACTTTTTAAAAACATGATCTCTCTTGAAAAAATAATCGGAGCAGTTTTTAAACTTCTCCATATGTGTTTGAGGAGGAAAAATCCAACAAGGGTGCAAAATACAGATAAAAATAAACATGATTCTACTTTGCAAGAAGTACTTTCATCGTTCTCAAGGGTGGCTCACCATTCCCAAAGTACGCTTGAGGCTTTAGTCCCTCTATCTTGTTCTTTGCTCCTTTCTTCCTGTTTCTTCCTCTTCTGCTCCCAGAACGGACGCAAAAGTCTTTGGTCTCAGAACACTGGATGCAGCACAGTGTTGCAAGCACAAACTAACGGTGTTCACACTCGGGGAGGAGGCAGGAAGGAGCGAGGACTGGTCCTGCTGAGGAGATGGGATGGGAGGGTTGTGGGGAGTCAGCTCCTAGATGGCTCCTTCACTGTGCATATTGTGGTTGGGCTTGTTGTGAGTCACACAGTTCTGTTCGGTCAGCAGGTTTGCGGCCTCGTCCGGCAAACCGTCATGCAGCTCCGTAAGAGTCAGTTCGATTTTAGTGTTTTCACTGTCCGAGGACTGAGGTGTTTTGTCCATCCGGGATGCCATCAGGGCATTTTGGTACTGCTGTCTTGAGATCTGCTCCAAGCACAGAAGGAAGGAACAAGAAGAGCCAGTCACACTTTTGTCTCCCCCATGGGACACACACAGAAAATGAAGTCCCCCTCCCCTTCCAGATGGCTGCACTTAAACTCCTGTTTACCTGGGATCAGCTCCACTTCTACAAGACATCCCTCTGCTTTGCAAGCCTAGAACACCCTAACTCAACATCATGGCATGGAGACATTTCCATAGGGTGGAAGCATGGAGCTGTGCAATCACCATGCTGTTCAAAGGAAGCAACTTATTCCCATGCAGAGATTTCTAAATCAAATCTCTGTTTCCTTCTACTCAGGCACATTTGTAGGGCTGGAACCAGAGTTCAGTGAAGTCTTTCTCCCAACTTCAGCAAGCTCCGGATGAGGCTCTGAGGTTTGTCCCCACAGAGACAGAGAGGAAGAGCTCTGCTGCTCTGGTCTTGGCCAGCAAATGCAGCAACACCTAGATCCTTATTCTCATACACAGGACATTTGATTCTAGTAAAGACTGGATCTCCATAGAGACGAGATCGAATTAGCTGCCCATAGAGAAGTCTTCAGCTGGTATCTCCGAGAGCCAGCTGCGCTCAGCAGAGGGGTTGCAATGGGAGCTGTCCATGCTGCCCGCGATGCCCCGGGACATGCAGGCCAGAGTGCCCTACTGCTGAACACGGTGCTAGAGGGGAGACTTCCTCCCGAACCAGCAGGATACACTCTTCTGGAGCAGCCCTTACGGCCAGGACAGGCAGCAGGATCTGCGTGTGCTGGCAGCCCACGTGCTAGCGGAGCAGCGGGGCACCTCAGCCGGCGGGAAGATGGAACAGGCTGAGCAAGGAGAGCTGGAAATGGAGACAGTCAGATGGACCGAGTTGCAGCATCCAGAGTAAAAATTCAAATAGGCACAAGCAGGTTACAGCCTTGGCTTAAAAGGTGTTAATTGACCAAATGCCCATGTGGCACAGCGAAAACACTCATGTTGAATAAGCTATCCTATGAATAGGACAGAAGCAGAGTGACATAAAAAGAGGTGTTCAGGTTTGATTGCAGAGACACCAGACACAGTTCAGCCTCTGTATGAACACAGTGAGAGTTGGATGGACTCCTCATAAACCAGCACAAGATGAGCAGCTGCTCTGTACAGCAGATTGGCCACTCAAATCTGTAGCGGGACTTGGTAATAGCAGCTGAGCTTGAGATCAGCTTGCCTAGCAATAAATATGCACTGCTCTAAATGTCAAAGATTCATCAACCAGTACACACGTATTGGTCAAGATTTTGAATGCAAAACTGCACTTCCTTTTAAAATTTGGCTCCCTGTAGACATGGAACAATTCTTTTAGTATCCCAGCACTTATACTCTATTCCATGTATTTTTAATATTGAATTAACTTTGACAGAAGTTGAGTTCACCAATCTCTTGAGTGGCATACGAAGGCATGCACTTTCCTTAAGAAAGGCATCAAGGTCAATCTCTGGCCATGGGGCGTCAGCTTGCCTGGACTCCCAGGCGGGCAGGAATTGCTGCCAGCACTAGCTGTTCCCCAGCTCGGCTACCCTGGCTCATCCCACAGGCCTCGCACACACTACAGCACAGGATGCACCATGCTGGGGCACAGAGCTGTCTTCATGCAGCAACTCACTGGTGTTATGAGACATAGAATCATAGAATCGTTAAGATTGGAAGGGACCTCTAGAGGTCATCTAGTCCAACCCCCCTGCACACACAGGGTCACCTAGAGCACCTGGCACAGGATGAGCCTAACACATGAAGTTAAGATAAATGTCCAAGACTTCTACAAGCAGAATAAGGATGACAAGTCAGAAAGTAAGATTGAGAGCCCCAAACTGAAACCAAAATCGAAAGTGGATAAACACTGCATCCAACACAAAATATCTTATCCTTTAAGAATTGGCACTGTCATCTAGTGAAAGGTTTCCACTCTTGATAGCTCCGAAGACTTCGTGAGCATACATCTCCATGACTAAAAGCACAAAAAGGGTCTTTTCTATAAACTTTCCTCAGAGGACCTGGAATCTAGGAACCCAAGTGACCCATCACAGGAGAGGAAAAGGGAAGCAGAAACCAACAGACTGTAGCTGTTCGGAAAAAGTAATTTAAAGTGATTGATTTTAAAACAGGCTGCTGCTTTCATCACCCTATCTACTCACAGAAGGCTCCCTTCCCCAGGCTCTCCAACGTGCCTCTTAAGCCCAGCTTTCAGCAAGGCCTTACAGCTCTTTTCCTACCTTGACAAACTGAATGTCTGTGAGTGCTTTCACTGAGTAGTCCGGGACGTACACTTGGAGGAAAGACGCATTCAGCTGGTTGTTGCTGCTCCCTAACGTTGGCGTCACTGCATCAATGCGATCACTTCGGTTTAAAGAGTCTGAGTGATTCAAGCCACAGGGCCGAGGTGGAGACTTGTTTTCAGCTGAGAAATGGGCAAGAGGGAGAGAATTCTTAAAATTAAGTAGAAAGCATTTAAAACCATCCGTTTCAAAGGGACATAATAAATCATGATGTAACATGGACAATCTGTAAATACTTAATCTACTTATAACGTAAGACATGCAGCTCAACAACCAAACTACCCTGAGAAAAGTACATTTTGAATCCAGAGCTGGTAGCTGATATCAATTAGTATAGTTTAAACACACCTGGTTTTATTTGTTCTACAACAGATAAGGCACTGTGCTCAGTTGGTCACAGCATTTCAGCTGTGCATGGGAATTCCCAAGGCTTTCCAGGAGGAAAGCCTTCATTGTCAGACCATATTTAATAGATTTCTTCTTAATGTGCTGTGCTCAGTTGGTCACAGCATTTCAGCTGTGCATGGGAATTGCAGGGAAAGGTAAATTCCCAAGACTTTCTAGGAGGAAAGCCTTCATTGTCAGACCATATTCAATAGATTTCTTCTTAATGATTTATAATCATACCACCAGTATCAGACCTTTCATCTACAGAGCGAGCTCCAGCTGTTATCCTCATAATTTTATTCCATTTGGTACCTGTAACTATTATCCTTGTCTTCTGGATTAGATCAGACACATTTTCAGAAGTGTAAGAGTGGTGAGTGGCAGAGACCTCAGTGGACCAAAGTGTCTCTTGTGCAGTCCACATGATAATTATTTCAATAAAATTTATTCTAGTACCTGTCAGTGCTTGAAACTTGAAATATGGAAGCTCAGTGAAGGTGAGCAAGCTCTGTTTGGTACATGCCAGCCAGCAAAACAGAGAAAATGGCCCACGCTACAGAGAAAAAAAGTGTGTCCAGGAAAAATATGGACTATAAAGAAGCAAAACTAGAGAAACTGTTTTCTGCCCTTGGTTTGTATGTGCTGCAGGGTTTTACTTAACAACTGAAATCTTGCAGGGAACCAGAGTAGTGACTGACCACAGCTCTCCTAATGTGCTGAGTTCAGCGAGCCACAAACATTTCGTGTCTGCAGCTTCTGCCCAGAAAGGGACCCAGAAGGACAGAGAGCAGGCAGAAATGCATCCTAAGAGAGATGCCAAGCCTTCCTACAGATGGACTTCTCTTGGATGCACATATAACACAGACCAATCAAAGAATCATCTCTGGCACTGGTGAGTTTTTGGACGTTGCTCTAATCAAATCTCATCCATCCAGCTCACAATGAAACTTGATGTGAGCTATACTACTCACTGTGCCGTCCACGCTGGCAACTGAGATCGTTTTTGTATCATCTTTAGATACGAAGCCTCTTTGAGCAAGTCAGCAACAGCATCTTTGCAAGCTTTACAATTTCTTTTCTGGTGAATTTTCGATATAGAAACTTAGGTCAAAAAAAAAAAACCCTCTTCCCAAATACAACCCTACCCTTGTCACTTAATTACTATGAACATAATTGTTCTTGGCCAGAGGACACGCCTGGTTCTACATCCAGTCTTTTCTGATCTTAAAATTTAGATTCTTCCAGATGCATGACAGAATTGTCCTACTTCTTTTTTAGCCACTTAAAGATGGTTGTCTCCTTCCTTCAATTTCAAAAAAAAAAAAAAAGTGAGTGGAAAAATACAAGTTCTGAAAACCCGGCATTTCTGCACTGTGAGGAATTAGTGCAAGCCCCTCTGGTTACACCAAGTACGGGCTTAGATGCAAGCACACAGAGGTCTGCAACATTCTCCCTTGATGCCAACTAGCCATCTGGGAAGCCACAGCAGGCTGCAAGAGCTGCTGGCAGGAACCAAACAGGGCCTGAAATGTGCTCCCAGCCAGAGAGGCTCTAATTCTCCCTGGAGAATCAGTAAATGTGATGACTAAATGAATCTGTGCGGTCTTTCCCACCGGCATACACAAAGTAGAGCTGTGTGTGACAAGCTCTGCTGCTGTTTGGAGTGAAGATTTCCACCTGAAACAGCTTTACATTCGCCTGACTCGGATCTCTCGCGCTCTTCCCTGGGAGGCCCATAGTTTGTTTCTAGTAAATAAAGAGAAGGACAGAGAGCAACGTGACAAAGCCAGCTAAAGAAAGCAGGGGATAGAGAGAGTGAACGGACAGAGCAAGAGAGTAGGATGAGAGAAAATCTGAGGGAAAAGACATCACCTCTGGATCTATGTACAAGTCAGGAAGGGAGAAGAAAGTTGATGGAGGAGAGAGAATGCAGAAAGAGCAGGAGGCAGATGGAGAACCAGGCAGCTCCATGTTGGCAGAGCCAGGCCCTGCCAACCCCCAGCAGGTCTGGACAGACCTTTTCTACATGGGTTTTCCCATAGTCCTCAAATTCCTATATTTCTATACCAGGGATAAAGAGCACAAACCACAGAACAAACATCAACACAAGCACGTTATGTATTCTGGGTTAAAAAGCAGGGTCCTTGATAGGAGGACCCAGCAGAAGGTCCAGGTTTCATCAAACCTGGTGCCATGCACAATCTCATGTTCATCTGCAACCATTGCCATGGTGACCACGGATACTACATCAGTTTCTTTCAAATAAGGTATTCACTGCATTATTAATTTGCATAATCAATTTTGGGAGTTGAGGAAGGAAAAAAAAGAAAGGAAAAAAAAAAAAAAAGAGGTGTGGGACCTTACAAAACAAAAGAACCAGGCTAAAAATGATAATCAAAGCTGCTGAGTTTAAAGGAAAGCCATAGGATACTTTAATTAAAGAGAGATTAAATTTCTGCCTCTTATTTCAAGTTTAGCAGCAGGGACCTTTAACAGGGCATGAAAAAAATTCCCTGCAGATCAACAACATTTAACTTGGTTGGAATGCACACGTCTAAGGACTGATGGTGAAATACATTTTCAAAATTGAAAGGAAGAGAGGGGGAGAAAAAGCAGCAGATGGTGAAATTTTTTGAAATGTACAATATGTACCAATGTTTAGGAGTTGTTTCACTTAAATATGCACATAATTATCTTATTTGTTTCTAGGTCCAGGAAGACAAATTCATCTGAAAACTTCAGAAAGAAGAAGTATGTTCAGTGTGGCCCAAACTATTCTAGGAATCTGCTGTTCCTGTACACTTTCTTGGGTGGTTTCTGCTTTTCTCACCTACATGGTGCCTGCAAAGCTCAGTTCTTAACCATTGCCAACTTCTAAGCATTCAACCACATCCTGGAGTGCATTTTGGCCCAATTTCTTATCTGTTTGCCCTGATCAAGGGACTTTCTATGTCAGTCAACTCAATTGCTTGGCAAAAAAATGGAACAAGCAAACAAAACAAAACAAAAAAACAGGAGCTCTCACACCTTCTTGCATATTGTATTGCAAGTCTGTCCCCTCTATAAATCACTGTGCAGTCCATGGCAGTAACCTCACTGAAAGAAAATTCAACACTTTTGACTTAAGTGGTAGAATTTAACACCATTTGAAAAAGTCTTTAATTTAACAAGTTCTTCTTTCATGGCAACTTAGCAGCAGATACTCACTCTGCTGAATGTATTTTCTGCAAAAACTTTTACGTACTTTTTAACGTCAGCTCAGGGGCGGATATCGTCCTTTAAAATTTCCCCTCCTAATATTTCACCGGGGTATGTATGCAAACCAAGAACAAGTGCACATTACCATACGCATTCTCTCAACCACGAGCTTAGTTCTGTCCATTTTGGTGGCTCCGTCACGTTGCTACCGGCTCGTTACAAGTAAGTGTTCGGGATACCTACCTGCGAGGCATAATGCTGTGCTGGGCTTCTCCCTAACGAGCAAAGGGGTCACATAAATACAGACTGCGACTGATTTTTTATGGCATCAGGGCAGTCACAAGAATGGTGAAAATAGAAGCATGCGGATTTACCTGGAGAACCTGCTGCTAACAACTCTGTTCTGCTGACAACAAAGGTACGAGACAGGGACAAGGGAACTAGAAGAGGGAGAGAAAAAGGATGAGATCACGACCAGAAAGGCGGCAGCTATCCACACTTGACAGGGGAAGGAGCCAGTTCGCACACTGAAGAACTAAAAACCAAAAGTGCAAATCGACTGTGGAAAAGTAAAGGGTTAAAAAAACAAAACAAAACAAGCAAACAAAAAGGCAATTAAATAATTTTAGGAATAAAATAAAATAAAACAAACACCCAAGCCTGCAGAATTACACAGTGAAGTTGCTAGTTTGAGTGGTCTATCAAGCTATACGCGTTTTTTAAATAGTTTGAAAGGAGTGGTGGTGCCCACTTCAGCCTGGAAGACAAAGAGTTAAAACAAGGCAGGAAGCCTTTATGGGTCCAATTCCTAATAGGAGTAAAATAAAAATAGAAACTAAACCAAAGGAGACTTTATAGATCATCAAGGTTTCAATACACCACTATGTGAGGTTATAATTTTCCTAGCTCATCCTTGTCAGAATGGTTACGAGATTGCTAAATATTACCATAAATCCCTCCCTAGCTGCAGCTAAAAAAGAAAGAAAAAAAAAAGGAAAAAAGGAGGAAAAAAAAAAAAAGCTTCCCTGATTTTTTTTTTTTTTTTTTTTTTTTTTTCCAAAACATGCTTCAATCTCCTGTTACTCACTTCATATTCCAGCGCAGAGAGTAGACACATAAAGTCCAATTAGGACACAGGGAAGAATGGGCATTTTCTCATGTTCTGCAAAGGTTCATACTTGAACCGAGTGTTCATGTCTACCCAGGGCAAGAAGAATTACTTCATTTTTATGAGCTCATCCTAACAGAAATTTCAGGATGCTGTAAGGCATCATAAAACAAATCCTCTGAAAACCGGGGGGAAAGCTGGCAAAATTAGGGACTAGCTGCTGGTAAAAAAAAACAACCAGTTGTAAGGAAACAAATCCAGGGTTAACAGAAATTAATTTAAAATAGCACTTAAATTTTACATGACAAAATCTATGATGGGCTTCAGTGCAGACACACGCGAAGGGGCGATGATTTGACCTCACAGGATGGGGAGCGACTGGCAGGGACGCAGGGATGGTTAGCAACACAAGGGAGAAAAAGGGGACAACACTGAAACATTCAAAATAATCACTGCTGGCAAAACGAGAAGCCACAAATGATTTCCAAGAGTAGGTCATGTAGGGTTGATGCTCCAGCTCATATGGGCCACTGGCCCACACTGTAAAAGCTGAGCTTTCGAGCTGATGGCACAGCAAGGTATGACACACTTGCGCATACACACGCGTGTTACACACGGTTCATCACAGGTACCACGTGCACAGGCAAAATCCGCCCCGCACACTTCCAAATCCATCCAAGCTGCAACCAAGAGGAGCCGAACGGAAGCGCACGGGCTCAGGGGAGAGCTAGTCTTGCCTCTGGATGGGGCTCCTAATGGAGATCCAGCAGAAGATGAGGAAAAGGGCAGCACAGCGCCGACCGGCCTCACCTTGGGCAGCCGTGAGAAGTGCTTCTGGTGGGAGAGCTTACTCTACTACAGCTGTATCCTTAATATATCCATATATCCAAATATACATGTAAGTATGCATGCACACATAAGGAGAGCGCGCATTAACCTCCTGGTGAAACCAGACTGCCCCAGGTCTTCTGCACAGGGCTGCGGGTTCCCAGCTAAGATCAAGATCTTGGCCATGTAAAGGCAACATTGCCAGCCCTGACGTACATCGGTAGCATCGCAGTGAGGGCCGGCACGGAGCCCAGCGCCGCTCAGCGAGCGGGACAGGATGAAACTGCAGGTCGGGTGACAAAGCTATAAAGGATCAGGGCAGCCAAGAAGTGCATCGGGCTGCTGATTCCAAAGCAATCCTCCAGCACGGACCTGCAAGGCGGGAGGAGGCTCGCGACACTACAGTTTGTGCTGGGGGAATTTGCTCCCCTCTCGGCTTGGCCACCAGCTCTCCTCCGTGCTGACTGCTGCACAGCCTGGCAGGGGTGATCTCTGCAACCTGCTGCTCTCGGTTTGCTCAAGGCGGCTTTAGAAACCACAGTAAAACAAGCTGCCCCCAAACTAACACGTTGTTTGTGTTTTATGCCACTAGATGTCCCCCTGCTACCAATTACTTATTCCCTGATATGAATTACTTAATTCATCCCTAGTATGCCACTATGAGAAGGAAAAAACAAAGCTGCCACCCTGTACCAAATGCATCACTGGTAAGGCCGGCGCTTGCACGCGAGCTCGTGCGAGCCGCTCGGCTTTCAGAGTCAGCACCGCCACGGCCTCGGCCCCGGCTGGGGATGCGACACGGGGCCGCTTCGCTAGCGAGCGGGAACCGCGTACGTCGCCGTCGGGCTCGCGCGCGAGCGTGGCCCAGAGCGGACGGTCAGAGAACGTACCTGGCGATGCTGTCAGGGCCATCACCCCGTAGTAGGAAAAAGCACCAGCTTCAAACTTCATCCCCTCTTTCCCAGCCTCCACTTCCACTTTCCCCTGTTAAGGAAAAGGAGAGAGAGCAGCAATTAAACAGGACCAGAGGCACCACAACAGGCTTGTGTCCTCAGAGCTAGTTTGGCCTGATGTCATCAAGGTAGCACCACGGTCCCTGCACTTTGTAATGGGGTCTTGAGACAGGAGAGAGCAAAACTCTCATTCCCTGAGCTCTTCTAATCTTGGGCTGCCCCTGGCCAGTAAAAATCAAGCCAGGGAACAAACATTCCCCCCAGTAGCACAGCGAGCTTCTATGCACCATGGTCACTTGGGGCCTGCAGATGCTCTCCGAGCCCAACACAACACCGGAGATGGCGATGGGAGACAACGTGCATGGAGCTTGGCGGCTTTCACCACGGAGATCTCCACAGAAACGAAGTCCTTATTCCTGGAGAAGCACTCTCTGGACTACTTTGTTTTTTCCGGTTTCTAGGAGTTTTCCAGATTCTTCCAGTTTTCCAGCCCAAAGCCCATCCTGCTCTTTTATCATGTCTAAAGGACCTTCCAATCCTTCCCAAGCTAAACAAGCAAATGCAGCTGTTTTGGATGTGGACTGAGGCAAATATTTAACATTGTGTATTGATATCATACAAAGGAGCCTAGAAGATAAACTACTTGATCAAATGCAGTTGTAAACATCTCCTTCGGTATATAAATAGGCAAAAAGAATTGGCTTCTTAGAGGGACATGTCTTTCATTTCCATCCTTACTGGTACTGCACTGAGCGCTGCAGTACACTATTGCAGAAGGAAATTGCATGCAACATTCCGGTTGGGATTTTAGCCAAACCACATAATTACCTGCAATGCTTTCCCTCTGGCTGAGCTGGAAAGGAGAGACAGGCTGCCAGTCCCACGTGTGCTGATTAGACTAACCATCAAATGGACAGAGTCAGGTCAAAATGAGCATAAAAGGTAGATGCTCTTTCTATGCATTTGTTGTAGCAAAAGTTATTTAAAACAACTAACCATACCTTTAACCCTACAGTACTGTACTGGGGCAGAAGAACATGAAAATTAAATCAATCTGGAAGAGACCTGAAACCAAGCCAGTTTGCCTGACTGTCCCAGACGAGGAAAAGCTCACAAAAGGTATCTAACGGGAACACAGTATGTAGCTCACAAATCCCCTTTCCTGCTATCAGAGGCAATCACTTCATATAATCCCTTTTAAAACCAATTTCAGTTCACAATACAAATAAGTAGCTTATTTGTTCATTATAAGCCTTCCAAAAGGTACTATTTTGGTCAGCAAAGACTGGTTGTAGACAGGGTTCTCAGCCTACTTATCATCAGTGTTTGCCAGTCAAGCTCAGGTCTACAAAATACATCCACCCGTGAAGCTTTGATCTTCATGCACAGTCACTGTGAAGTTAGTAGCTAAAAACCCACAAACTAGTATTTAGCCATAAGAATAGTGTCCTGGTTCCAGGATTATTCCTCCATCAGCACACAAAACTTCTAGGCTCCCTGCTTGTGGCCATATAAAGACCGGGTTCGCGTGGCACTGCCTTGGCAGCTGAAGGGCAGATAGCTCCATGCATACCATTGGGTGCGTGTTCTGCCCTGTTTTACATGTCCATGATTTCTGTTTTTCCACTGTTTATTTCATTTATTCATTATTTTCCACTGTTGCGAATCAAAGAAAAAATAGTAACAAAACCAATCTCAAAGTGCCACAAAAGAACTTCTCAGTGGCTAAATGAAAAGCTGGTACAAACAGGTGGCACCTCAGCTACAACAATAACTCTATAAAGAATAAGTTGGTAAATTTAATGTCTAGAAAACCTATTTACTTGTTTTCTGTTACTCTGAAGATATTCTGGTGTCTCTAAGTGACAGAATAAATCCCCAAATCAGATCGTTTAAGTAACAAAAGCATAAGTTTTATCCCCTTTGGATTTTGCAGAACCAAACTTGTTACCATTTTTACAGTATATATCTACTGCAAGGCTCACTTTTCCAAATGCAATATTGTTTTTGCACATTGTTTTTGCTCATCAGCCATTTATTCGTTACTGACTGTTCTTTGTATCATACATGTCCTTCACTTATATCTTTGCAGTATTACTTCATTCAGGATTATTCCAAGTTGCACAGATCCTGCACATAAGGAAAGGCAGTTAAAGAGCTACAGTAGAAGAGCTCCCAGTTAGGCAGTTAAAGAGCTCCCAGAAGACTTCCAAAATCAATCCTTTTGTAGTAAGTCCAATTCACAATGTCATGTGTTGGTGCTTGCTTTATTATTCATTACGGATGGCATTTAAAACTAAAAAAGCTGCCTTCCATTTTTAATTTTTAAGGCCATATTAAGGAAGACTTCCATACTGCGTTCGAACGTCAGCTATTTTTTCCAGTCTATCCAGGCTAGAAGCATAAAATCTGTCCAGCAAAATTTCCCTCCAAGGCCAGAAGAGCACTAAGCCCATTCCTGCAGCGTCCAAACAGCAAACAGCCCTTCCACAACACCCAGGGCTGCGATCCCAAACTCACCAAGTGCAGGGAACAGCAGGGCAGGGGTCAGTAGATGGTGCTGCCCCCGCCAACCCCCGCGCTTCCCGCAGCAGCGAGCGTGCAAACCCCATGGGTGCACAGCAAAATTGCACCTTGCCAAGCTGCCAACCTCCCCACGCCTCCTCTTGCAAAAGGACCAAACGCATCAGTGAAAACACCCCAGCCAAACTCCTGTGAGGACCTTTGCGTTCTGCGTACGTGTGATTTCCAAGCAATGCCAGCTGTGCACAGAGATTCCTTTGCATTGCCAATCCTAGTAATACCTAGCACGTGGCTTTCAGGAGATGACTGGAAGTGGGAAGTGTTGTCTACACTTCAGAGCGGATTAAACTGAAAGCAGTTGAATGAGTTGTTTAGAGCTAGCAAGATTACGAAGGAAGCAGAACAGTTCCCAGGAGCCATAGCTCCATTCCCATGTTTGAAAAAAGACAAAACTCAACAGCTAGAAGAAATATAGAGAGGGAGATGTCAGTAGATGATGTTGCACGTATCTACACAGTCACATGTCTGACCTGTAAAATGAGAACAAAGTAGTCGACGGGCTTGTTTCGCTGGTAGAGGTAGTATTCTGGGGCTTTCTTGTTCTTCTCATCGTATTTCAGCTCCTGGATGACGTTGGGATGTTTTAGCAGCCTGAGAAGGATCTTCTCTGACATCTGGGATGGACCAAAGGCTTCTACTTCTACAACACAAGACACAACTTGGCATTACACTCAGAAGCCTGGCAAGAAGATAGTCATAATCATTAATAAGCATTTGCTTATAAAAGAAACACAGATGCAGACAGATCCATTATGGAATTGCAGGCTTCTTGTCTTTTGATACTCTTAGATTTGTAGGAAAAAAAAAGAAAAAAAAAAGAAAAAAAGGAAAATCCCAACTTTAATTACAGAAGTACTTTTGAAAACAGCCAAGAATCATTTCTTCATCTGAAAGGGAAAAAAAAAGGCAGACTTGCTCACTTGAGAGTTCAGAGTCACAGTTGTACAGGCTCCTTGCAGTTACAAATGGGTTAGTATTACAGTTAGGGCACAAAGAACCTCTGAATATTTTTTCTTCCCCTAAGAGTATTAATGATAACTTATACATATCACTTGTTTCAAAAAAAAAAAGAGAAAAAAATCACTGTTTGGGACCTAGAAAGTCAAAGACACCATCCAGGTTGCCATCACTGATATGGGAAGAGTTACTCAAAGTGAGAGACAGTGCAGGTCAATTCACACCACATGGGATTAATATCTGACACACAGAGCACATGCCCTATCCTCGTGCTTTGCGGTAATCAGTGTTCCCAAGAGGAGCTGTCTGAAGTGAAAAAGCTCATCTGTGTGTGGCAGAGTTAGGCCAGAGACGTCAAGATTTAAACATGCAAATTGATAAGGTTTCCTAATACCCCATTTCAGAACTGGACTGTTAATAAACCTGAACTTTTAATCTCCTGGAGATACTGTTCTTAATTTACAATGGAAAAGCAAAATTGTAGCATCCAACTTCTTAGCCAGAGCTTAGTTTAAACTGCACAGTTCTTTCATTCACAGAACAAGCAGAGAGGCAGTACTGCAACACTCTATTTGTTGAGGTGCTTAGGGAACTCCACGAAGTCTTGTATAACAACACGAACAAAGCTTTGCTTGCCGTTAAATCCGAGTCTTCCTGTTGAATTCTTCCTTTCACCAAGGACATGCTCACATGCACATAAGCAGCAGGAGTCCGAGCCCAAGGAATTGCTGCCCTTCAGCTGAGGTATGATAACCTATCACTTAACATGGGTTTCAAGTCGCAGAGGCAAAACAAAGCATAAAGACAGAGCGGGCGCATCTAGGCTGACAGTTATGGCTTCTTAGAGGAGGGCAAGCACTAACTTCCAACTTGAGCTGGCAAGCCAAGAAAGCAGTTTATCATTTGCAACCCATGAATGTATGTTGAACACATCAGCAAAGATGCCCATCTGAAAGGCCCGCATGTGAAAATTCTTTATATGTCAAAGAGACAGCACAAGCAATAGGAAGGTACATTTTCCACAAGCTCTCCCTTGAACAGCTCTTATCTCTGAGGTGAAGGGACCAATTCTACGACGAAAGGCAATGTCAGCTGCAAGGAACCATTCAAGCCCTGGCCTCTCTGCCAGACTGCGTGCCCAAGGGCTAACCATCAAGGTGATCTGGGACGGAGACAACTGTCCTCTGAAACCCGAAGCCATCAATGGAGGTCATACAAGCCAGCAAGAAATCAATTTTTTAAAAAATTATAGTCCAGCCACCTGTGTAGTCTGTATTAAATGTGTCAGCAGAGTTTTTCATTTCAAGTCAAAAAGTCTCCCAGAACAAGTTAACGCTTTCCTACAAAAAGTCCGTCACTTCTCTCTGGATGAGGCGCCTGAGTGGAATTAAAGTCAGCTGGCCAGCGGTATCGAGTCCTCCTGGGTTTGTTCCCTGAGCTCTTCCTAATGGGGTGCGCTTGCTAGTCGTTAATCTGACGGACTCTAGACATGCAGTGCGGCACTTGGCATTCATCCTTACCTTTCAGACCAATTTAAAGTTACTGGTCCACCCCTGGTAAATGTCTCAGAGGGTTCATGCCGACACTGAACACAGGAGAGGAGAGAATTTAAAAAGAAAAACACAAAAGTGGCATTATTTGTCACCCCACAGCCCAGCCTCCCTTCCCGCCTATCCTGTCCCAACCCGCCTCACCGGCCTTTGCTGACAAACTGCCTCCGAGGCTCTGGCACGACCACAAAACTGATAAGCCACACTTGCCTGTTGCCAGGAACCGGTGCATTGCCAGGAGGAGCTGCGGCGATATTTTAACCTTCATCTCGCTGTCTGTCTGCTTGAAGGCCGAGAAGTCCTGCTTCCTGTCCCGATGGGCGACTTTCTTCTTCGTCTTGTTATCAGCTGGGGAAGGGGAGGGTGGGGGAAGACAGGAAGGAAGGGAGCTCTGTTAGAGCAGGGTTCACGTGAAGCGCGCCGGACGCAGCAGCCAGGACAGCCCAGGCCAGGGCCAAGAGCCCTCTGCAGCGCATGCAAAACCCGCTCGTGGAGACACGATATCCAAGAGAAATAACCCGCAACTTGGACTGCAGGCCCCGGTTGTGCAGATCCTGCCACCCTACTTCAATGGGAGCAAATATCTCCGTAGGTGCTCGCGAGCATCTAACGGCAGCTCAGGCTCTGCCTACAGATAATGTGCCTCAGCGTAACGTGCACACACATGTGCAGGGCAGGGGAAGAGTCCCGCTCAGCACTGCCAAAATAACCACACTTCTGGTACCTGACCACAGCACGAGCACCAGACCTTGCAGAAACACCTTAAATCTTTCGTCCTGCATCAGAGTCATCAAGTTAGGACGCATAGGTTCTTAAACAAATGATGGGGGGATTTTCAGTTCCTCCTGCTATTCTCTCGGCAGTTTATCCAAAAGTCTTTTCCCAAGAAGGTTATGCAGTGTGAGCAGAGCTATGTGGCTAGAAGCCTTTACCTTGGGTAGTTTTGCAAGGAATGTTCTTAACTGTTCTTTGCTATTCAGGCAACTTCCTAGCTTCCTGTAAGATGCAGGATCCAAGGACAGTGATAAAAATAATTGAATCTGTAGCAGTTATTTTCTGTCTACTCTTTCTAAATAAGTGAGATGGAGACCTCAGCATTGAAGTCACCTTGGCATGCTTAAGAGAACTCTGCTTGTAGAGCACTGTGATGTTGCTTGGTTCTGCAACATGAACAACCTGCAGCATGAAGGATGCCCCCAGTGCAACTTTTGGTGAGATGTCAACAAATACTGTAGTCTTCTTCAGTGGCTTCTGGAAATATTAGACTTTTCCTACAAATCAAAAGGCAGCAAGGCTGACTGTCTGCTCTTGGGCTAAGGAGAGGTCTCAAGAGGAAGGGATCCAAGAGAAGAGTTCAGATCCCAGAGCAGCCTTTTGTTGGGCTAGAAGGCAGGGTAAGACACACAAATCTCCGGGAAGGTTTCTGTTCTATTTCTGCCCTTTTCTCTTTACAACCTGTATTAATCAGTGTAGATACCCTCAGTGCACTCCAGGCAAGAGAAGAAGGAAAAAGTCTCTCATTCAAGGGTAGTCCACCCTGAAACACCAGGGCTGTACAACAACGAACCAGCAAGGGCAGAGACAAGCTCCTGCTTGGGACTTCTTCCATCAGATGCCCAAAGAGAAGGAAGTACCATGCCCAGTGGGTGAGAGTCACTGACCCTGTGCCCGTACTGAGCACCACGCTGCCTGGCCGAGGCAGTCAGAGGTGGACGCCAGAGACCTGCTCTCTAACCCTGCTAAAAACACACCCCATGGCTCCCCTGCCCTCTTTCCCCAGGCGATACTGGTCCCCAGGTTGACAATCTATGTCCCATACACTGCCCAGTTCTTAAGCCTGTGGGTTTGATTCATGCTAAAATTAAAGTTTATTATGTAACTAAGCAAGTTATGCTACTTTGATTTTTTTTCTCTAGCTGGAAAAAATACATTGCCTTGTGTATCACATATGTTTTGGCAACTGAGAAGAAGCCAGCATGGCTAAACTTGAAGCCCTGAAGCAGCCTAGAGCAGCTTTGTGGAAGGATGCAGATCCTGCAGCCTCCCAGTGCTAGAATGCAGAACGTTATCAGGTCCAGAGCTGCAAGTGCCAACGGGGCACGACATCGCTTCCTGGAAGGTGGTGACAATCTTGGCATGTTTAAAGACTGGATTCTTTAGACTTTTCTATGCGATTACTCTTTCACTAGATGACCAGTGAAAATACTAACTAGGGCAAATAATATTTATTTCTATAGCTCTGCTATTTAAATAGCATAGCTATTTAAAGTTGCATAGCACTTAATAGCGTATTATACATTTTTAACATATCTGTTTTGACATCTGTTTGGAGATAGGGTATGCTGGGGTATGATGTGGTCTTCCCCTGGGGGAAGCCACTGGCCAAGGCTACAAGATGATTATCCTGAAGCTATTGCAGCTGCAGTTCTTAACAACCTGTGCACCCCATGACTGGCACAGCACGAGCCTACAGCACAGCACCATCCATCTGCTCGCCAGGGCCTGCATGGGCTGCGGCCGGCTCCTGAACGCGGGCAGGGAAGGATGCAAAGAGGCAGCAAGAGGTAACAGTGGCGCTTAGCACCAGGCTGTTCACCTGAAACATATGGACCATGTGCATAGGGGGAGCGTTGTAGATAAGGCCAGGATTAATGTGGGGTGAAACCTCCCTGCAGCTGTGTGTGTGCACGACAGCAGCAGTCCACGTGCACGAAAAGAGGGGACAATTAAACTCAGTTTAACTTCAGCACTTCAGTCAGAAAGTGCTCAGAAGTACCTTGCCCAACCAGATGTCCATGCCAGAGATATTAACCAACTTTTCTTGCTCTCAGCTTCTCACCAACACCTCTACAAGCCATAAGGCATAGCAGACCACAGCAGCCTGAAATAATGCTAGGTGCACGTCAGCTACACAGCCCCTGAGGAACCCAGCTGCAGAGCTTCAGCAAGCCCCTTCTGGTGAAAGCTGCAAACTCACCATGGCTTCCACCATGGGCATTCAATGGATTTTCATGTAAATGTCAGAAAGACACATCTCCAATACCAAGGCAGAAGAAAGATTTTTAAAGCTTCAGAAGTGTAATATTGGTGCCAAAATTAGTCTTTAAGTGAACATCTAGCACAGAGTAAATCAGGCCCAAATTCCAATTCGGCAATGTTGTAAGCAAGCTAGCCTGGTCTTAAATAGACATTATCAGAGAACTCAGGTACCTGGTGGTTACTAGCACTGACACACATCTGCAACAGAAGTGGCAGCTTAACATATTACAGACAAGAAGCTACTTTCAGTAAAGCAAAAGCATGTTCCTACCACTATAACAACTTGAAACGGTTCCACAGTCCCAACCTGCTCAATTATAAAACATGCCACATTTTTTCGTGATTCACTCCGTTTCTACACACATTTTTCCTCTCTCCCCTACCTCCCTAGTTTCCTTTGACTTGAACAGTGGGATGAATTCTCATGCTTCATAAGGAGAGCAGAAGATCATCTTAATGGTTTGCAGTAGAAGCCACCCCTCAAAACTTCCTGCCTCATCCAGGAAGCAGAGGAAGTTATCCTCCTATTCCGACCTATGAATTTTCCATAATAAAACCTTCCCACGAAGGATGGTTTCAAATGAAGCCATGTTCATCAGCTCTATTTTGTTAATCTAGGAAGTCTTCATATAGCAAAATAAAGCTCTCATTTCCTTGCCCTCTAACAGCTATTAGTAGTCTAACCTCTTTTTCCTGCAATATCAACTATAGCATCATCCATGCAGTTTCTTTTAGTAAACAAAGAAAAACAGCAGTGAAGAGCCTATACAATTATTTTTACTTGTAGAAACATGGATATCTCTCAGAAGTGACAAGACACTGATTGAATTATAAAAGAAAATGTCAATTCACCCTGTAAAAGCAATATGCCATAACTGATTAGCCTAACAATACCTTTATGAAACTCTGAACAAAAAGAAACATGGACACTAACTGGAGTTCTGTGATCTGGATAGTAATTAGACTGTTTACAGTGTAGCATAAAACTGTATGCTTTGCATGAAACTTTGTGCACATAAATACCAGTAAAATACTGATTCAGCTACTGAAAGTAGTCCAGGGAATAGCAATCTTAAGAAAAGTGGTAGGAGTATGTCTGCCTCATGGTGGAAAGAGTTCGTTTCGCTTGGAGGGCAGCTAGAAGATTCTCATGTTGGTATGGAAAAGATTGTGCAGAAATATTCAGATCCCTTCCACAGGGAAAAAAGGAACAAAGCAAAGAACTTCTAAACAGTATTACAGATATTTTAAATGACTATTTGTATGATCACAGAGTCTGGGAACAACCTTGTGCTCCGTACTACACAAATATAATAGGAAGAAATAGCATCTGCCTGCAAGAGAGCAAAGTACAGATAGGATGCATGGGGAACGATGGAAAGAAAGTTCAGCATATACATGCCAGAAGCACCCATGGGAACAGTAGCAAAAACACTTTGGGCATTTTCAAAAACTCTTAAAAGTGGCAAAGAAAAAAGCCCAGATCTCTCAAGCCCCAAGTAATGTTGTTCTACCTGTAACATCTTCTTCTTCAATGTATGTTAACACTGAGGAGGAAAGGAGCTGTACAGAGTGGTAAAACAAGGAGCCCTTTAGGACACTGATTTGCAACTTGAGGAAACATTTCCTTTCTCAGGCTCTGAGTAAGGGACAGAAAGAAGCTCCAAACAGATTACATCCCCCTTCCTGGTGGCATGGTTACCTGCCCGACTGCTGACTGAAGTGCAGCACATGCTAAAGGCCCTTGAGGTAGAAAGTGGTGAAAATGCAGGAGGTGGTGAGCACTGTAATGAAACACGGGTGGAGAACTGCTAGCAGAAAAGATCAGAATGCTACAAATGTGAGTCTTCTAGATGGCAGAGTCAAATAAATAAAGCTGCTCCGTTTCTGTATCAATATTGCATTAAGGAGTGAGGCACCCATGCTGTAAAAACAGATGTTACTGTGACTGTCCGAGGGATTTGCAGGTCATTCAACCCTTTAGATTTTAAATCAGCATCGTGCAGCTCTCAAAACAAAGCTGTTAGACACACATGCTGCTGGATGGAATCTCGCCTCTCAAATATAAAATGCAAAAATTTCTACTCACTGTATAGATCTGTTTCATCCAAAATTTCGGATTTGATGATCTCTTCAATCACATCTTCTAAAGTGACAATTCCCAGGACTTCATAAAAAGGATCTCCTTCTCCTTCATTGTTTACTCTTTGTACTATAGCCAGGTGGGACTTGCCTGCAAGAAGACAGATAAGCAATTTAGACATTTTAGATATTCCTAAAAGACCAGAAATCATAGCAGAATTATGGACATTTGGGTATAAACCAAAAGACACAGAAGTTGGTTTCAGACCTCACACAACAGAAGAGGCAAAATTTTACAGCGCTTAAAATCCTAGTCTGATTTCTAACAGAGAACCTCATTCCTGGATCACAAATCCACCTAACACACTAAAGGAGGACAGCCAACAACACTGATGCTCTCTTCATAATTTCTTTCTCCACTGAAGCTGTCACCCGAGCATCAGATTCATCATACTATTTTGTTGATGCTTATTTCTCCTCTCGCCTCATGCATTAGCATGAGAAGGTCAGGCTGGAGTCCTCCTTTGTGGAGGCCTCCCATGCATGTTCTTCGCAAATGTGGAAATAAAGCATCAACGGCCAAGCCTCAGAAGCACAAGGACAGGACAGAGCTAGGGGAGAAGAGGTCAGTCCAAGCCATGAGTTGTTCTCCTCCTTCCCGCTGCACAAATAATTTATTTAGATACACTCTGTATAGAAGAGGGCTTACTTAGGAGTTAATCAATTAAAATATTCAAAGAGACAGTGTCTGTTTAGCACCGAGAAAAGCTATGATGAGATGCACTAGAGGCTCTAAAGATCCCTAAGCTGCGCATCGTTCACAGTGCATTTTATAACTCCTGAAGTCCGTCCGCTGGAGGAATCACGAGAATATCACGACCCTTTGAATCCGCTTTGACATCCGTGGTAGCCAGTTTCCAGAGCTGCCACTGGAAGTCACCTCTTCGTAAAGAGACACAGGGATCTCTGCGTTCAGAGAGTTCACCAAACGCAAGCAGCATTTTGAAGCATAAATATGGCAGATTTCAACATGCTTCATGAGACATTAGGAGCTGAGCAATGTTCTCTCATGTTCCTCTGTATTAGCTTCAAAAACCGATACTTGTCCCCATCTGTGGAAGATAACCAAAATAGCTCAACTTTGCTTAAACCCCTTTATAGGCAATAGCGTCTGTGTGTTTTAAGATTCAGATTATTAGACCAGCAAGCATTCAAAGTATTCCAACCCAGACTTGCTCATGCTCAAAGAATGAAAATATCCTGAACAAATTAGACTAGGGAGAAAAACTTATCAACTACTGATATAAACATTGCATCAGGTCAAGTCAATTCACGTTGGTAAGATTTTCACATCTGCTTTCCCAGGGACCCAACATAAGCAGTTAAAAACAAATTCTTGGTGAATGCTGTCTGTCGAAAGTTAAATTCTTTTGCTATTCCCAGCTTGTGATCATTTAAAAGGAATTTTCCAAAGCAGGGTCTAATATTAGACTCAAAATGAAGTTTCCATTCCACTTAGGCGATATTCTCACCAAAGTAACTGCTGCATAATCTGATTGTCTTGGAGCTACTCGTTTAGATGCAGATGGACATGCTTTAAATACCAGCTCCACAGCACTGCTGAGTCTTATCTTGAAGAGACCTTATTCTACAGTGAATTATTAGAAAGATGATTTGTGATTTTAAAGGCTCAACATCTACACTGTAATGAAAGTCTCTCACTGTGCCCGTTTTTATTTCCTTAAATTCCTTGCAAGACTTTCAGCTCTTTTTACTGCTCAACGGCATTAAAAACCAAAGAAAGGTGACTTGGTAAAGGAGTGAGGTATGAGCGCCGTCGTCGTTTCCCTATAATACCTTAGTGACCAAAGAAAGGTGACTTGGTAAAGGAGCGAGGTATGAGCGCTGTCGTCGTTCCCCTATAATACCTTAGTCCAATTTTATCCATTCAATATAATGATATTCAAGAACGAACTGCAGCACAAAAAAGGTCACACGGATAAAACAAAACACTGTAACTGACTCCTGGTGTTTGCTCTGATATTAGTATATTTGCTTTCAAGTCAAAAGGCCTAACTCCCTCAGGAACTATTTCTGTAACTGAGCAGAGTAGCTCATTTTCATTCAGATGCTGGTTCCCGAGGATCACCATGCCCATTCATTAGTGTGTGCTAAGAGTACTCAGATCCAAACAAATGGGTAAAATTAAAAAAGGCCTCCTCAGACAACACCAGTATTATATTAACTCAGTGTTACAGCTTTGATCAAAACAACCAACTTTTCCTGCAATTCTCTATTTCCTACCATAAGGCTGAACTACTTTACGTAATTTTACATTTGGCACAAAAAGACAAGCCCTTTATCAGCAACGGAGTCCTAGAGAACAGCAGGCACATCTGCAAGCAATGGGACTGAGTTATGGAAAAGGGTCCAAGAAGGAGCTGAAGGTCGCAATAGCACAGAACCCGTGCGGGACTCTCACGCACCAAACCCTTTATTCACTGTCCCACTGGGGTCCTGTCTTATGGAAAAGGGTCCAAGAAGGAGCTCAAGGTTGCAATAGCACACAACTCGTGTGGGACCAAACCCTTTATTCACTGTCCTGTCCTGACCAAGACTTTAGGATCGTCACACTTTTGGACTGTTGAACATTGTCCCCATTTTAGCATCTGCAACACTCTGTTCTAATTAATAGCACTTAACAGTACTGCTAGGACTGCTAAGTCTAATAAAAAGTACTTAATGGGGCGAGACCAGCTTCTAGAAAGTTTCTACTGACTGCTGTTGTTCTAATGCAATTTGTCTTAAATATGAATTGATAAGGAATTAGTAAAGGTGGGTTTGGGACATTTTGCACTTTCTGCGGTTGAAAAGAAGGCTAGAAAAGTCTGCCTGTTTTTGTTATAATCTCTGATTTTTGTTGTCTTGACTTATCTCCAATGTCTTAGTGGCATTGAAACTTGTCTCCCTTAGGGTCAATCGTCAATGAACGTCTCGACAGATAACAACAATTTTCAGATTTATCATTTTTATTAAAATAACATTTGCAGAGTGTTTACCTGCCATGAATACATATGAAGTCTGACACTACCGTCTTTCCCTCTTGATTGTAAAGTTTTCCTATTCCTGACTGTCATGAATTCATCACTTCACTGGACTGAAAACCAAGGCTGTGGGCTCAGCAGACTTTAAGCCAATCCAAGCAGGCTCTGCTACAAGGCTGCCTTGTGCTCCCAGAGTCCCGTCCTCCAAATACTCCTGACAGCACATGGCCAGCCAGAGCAGAGAGCTGATCCATCTGAAAATTACATTTATTGGGTCTTTTTCAGTTAATTTTCATGAAGATCCAGGGGCTTGGCAAAAGTCCCTCTCACAGAAGTTAGAGGAACACCCAGTCACTGCCTGGCTGCCCTCTCAGGGCCAGCCTGGTTTCAGCTGCTGTACGAGCGACTGCAAAAACATCCCCTGCGAGCATGGAAGCAATCAAGGAGGAAATGGCTAAAGGAAAGTCCAGGAGCATAAAGCCTTCTTTATAGGTCATAAAAGAGCACAGCACAGCATGTGCCCAACTTTAAAAGCAGCCTGTGAGAAAAATAACCATTCCTCCAAGTATTTTAAATAGAAATTAGCTACAGTTTTATTCAAAGATTTTACCAGGCCACTGGTATTTGCTACTCATTTTTATCCAGAGGCAAGTTCCAACGGCATCTGCCGCTGCTAAGGGCCTAGGGCACATACTGCAGATAGATCTGAAGAGGGTAAATGTGCAGGTAAGGAAGTCTGGACTGTTTAGATTACCACCAGGGCTTAGAGGGCAGAATCCAAATTAAATGAAGAGAGCAAGTGTGAATGGAATATATATAAATTATTTCTATACTTCATTGGTTTTCTGCAACAGTCTGTAACCACGGTACATCTCTGACATTAATCTTTCTTTAATCACTCATTTTAGGTGTCAGTGTAGTGAGATTTAGCAAGCTCTGCAGCATTAAGAGATCTGATGATAAAGGCAAATGATGTGCAATAAACATTGCAAGGACAGGAGCATGGGCAGCGCTCTCACGCAGGGGGCTCTGCCGAGCGGCCCCAGCTAGAGCAGCAGCTGGTAACAACCTCCGCGAGGACCCTCAGAGCTCACCTGTGTGCAGCTTCAGATCCCAAAAGGCACAAACGGGATAAATGCTAATTTCTCGGCTACCATCACAGGCACCTAAAGGACTAGGGAGTTCGTTAAAGCAAATCCTTATTGCTCAGAATCTTACAGCATAGTTTGGATCTTCCTCTGTACCACAACTTCTGATTTCAATTTAATAAGCTAATTAAAAAGCACAAAAAAAGTACTGACATACTGATTCTCTTGCAATAGTTTGACCGGTCCTTAAAAGACAGATGGAAACATTTTCCTGACCCTTTGATCCTTACTGAGGCATTTATATATTTGCAGCAGGGACCTAAAAATATTAACATGCTGCACTAACCAGAACTGTAAATACCTGGTCATGAGCCTCACACTCCCCAAGTACCCTTGTAGCCAAGCTGAGACTGCTGTCAAAATATATAAATTACATGAGTGGACTGCAGGGGGGAAAAGCAGACAAGACCAATAGGCTAGAGAGCCCAGAGGCGAGTGGTTCAGTTATTAGTGACATTTCTGAGGGACTCAGAAGGAGGGTGCTAAGCAGTGTTGGCTCCACTAATGACCTGATTGCACCTTCAAAATAACCTCATGGTTTGGTACGGGCTGGGCACCACCTGGCTGGGTCTGCAGAGAAGGACTCAGTGGTCCTGGCAGACGTGGTGCACAGGAGGTGCCAGGGCATCTTGCAGCAGTGAAACCCAACTGCCCAATAACTACACCAGCCCGAGCCTAGCTCTTCTTCAAGAGAAAGGACTGTTTCCCTCCACGGGGCTCTTGCAAGGCCCTTCGTGAGCCTGCTATGTCCAGTGCTATGTCCAGTTTCAGGTTCTCCAGTTTAACACTGCCATAGAGGAGATGAAGCAGAGAGCCACTGAGACAGCCAGGGCTGGAGCTCATGGTGTGCAAGCAAAAGCTGAGAGAGCTGCATTGCTTCAGGCTTGGAAAGAGAGGGCTAAGAGGGCAACACTACCGCTGTCTTTACCTACCTACCAGTGGGGTAGAGAGGAGACAGAGCCAGACTCTTCTTGGAGCTAGACACTGATGGGACAAGAGGTAATACACACAAGTTGCAAAAACAGAAACTGTTATTAGATGAGGAAAATGTTCTTCCCCACAAGAGTGGCCAAATTCTGGGACAAAGGACCAGAGAGGATGTGGAATTGCCATCTTTGGAGGTATCCAAAACTCAGCGAAAAAAGTTAAATAATAGCAAGAATTAGCATTTCTCATTTGCAGTTTTCCATTTTTCTGCTTAGGAACCTAAGCACAAGCAAAATTTCCATTTTACCAATTGGGAATGGCACAATATGTCCTTGTATGTGACCAAACATAATAGCAAAATGACACCACTAACCAGATCATGCAGCAGGCATTTAGAACACTGCTCTCATAAGTTTAAAGCCAAAGACTTTACGTGGCCCAGCCACACAGGTACAGCTCTGGTTTATCTCTCTGAGCCATGAGCAGCAACCTGCATGCAGTGTGTGTAAGATGATGCCATGGCAAAACAACTAAAACCTCAGGCTTACGAACTTTGTACCTGGGAAGCCTCCCATGTTTCTTTGCTCTGTGCAAGCATCAGATCTCACGAAAGGACATCAGTTGACTTTTATTAAAAAATAAGGCATAAATTAAACCTTTGGTAGGCAATTAGCAGATTCCTGCTAGCCCTTCTGCAGTAAAGCTACGTTCAGGCTGGATCATTTTTGTCAAAGCCTGTAATCCAATTCCAGCCGATGTTGTTGAGTGCCCTTGAATGTTAAGCTATAACCTGTTTAATATATCTACTATCAAATGGAGAAAAATCCCAGGAGATGTTTAGTTGCCCTTGAATTTGCTAACTAATAATCTCTGTCTCTGAAAAATGTTCTAGGTTACCCTTAAGTGACTGTTTTGGTTTTGACTGAGCAAAACAGAGCAAACAATTTGGTCTGTCAGTGAAATTCACAGGTTTGACAATGCATTATGCAAAACATTATCAAATTTATAATGTTTTGTATAATTGAACCATTAGAAACAAATCCCTTTAGAATAGCACTGGCTTGCAAGCAATTATAGCTAAGTAACAAGTGTTTTACTAAATTTCTTCTCTGCAGCACAGTTCAAGGACATTAATTCTCTTTTCTATTAGCCAAAATTTGCATTTGTGCCATTTGCTTTTGCACTTTGAACACTGCCAATGCTTGGAAACGTTGGCTGTTTTTTTTCCCCATCACCTCATTTCACTAACTGGTGCACACGTGCAAGCAACACTGCATTTAGGTTTGTAACACCAGACTACTTAACTGTTCAACTACTTAAGTGAAAATCTTTAAATTCAAAATGTCTGTGTGAACATAATCTAAATGGAAAGTAGGTTCCTTAGATCAAGCTTTTCTTCTGCAATAAAACACCCAACTTTTTGAAGCTTGCTTGGGAAGGGGACCCAATAACAAATATCCATTTAATATATAAAACTCCCATAGCCCCATGAGTGAGTGAAAATATTAGTGTCACCAAGGGGTACATGGTGATTTTTTGCCTCCTGAGAAGCACTCTGAGCTGTTCCTACAATCACAGCTCTAGAAAGCTGCTACAGGCTGCAGCTTTGAATGTAACTGAACTGCACCTGGCACCAAATCTGGAGCAGAAGCTGCGAAGTCACCATGGGTCCACGAGTAAAATAAATTAATAGGCAATCAGAACTAACTTGAGAATAAGGAAAAAGGTCATTTCAACACGGAGCTCTGTTATCAGAGTGGAAATCTTAAGGAAGAGTCTGGAGACATGAGAACATTTAGAGGAAATAATTACCTAGTGGGGGCAGGCAGCAAGAGCAAAAAGAAAGACCAGAGAAAAGTTTCAGACCCTTCTTGCCAATTAGCACTGATCACCTTTGCCATGAACAGAACACCAGCCCTCCCCAGGCATGTAGTCCTTACCTAGCAGGGAATTTGGGCTGTTTGCAAAAAATGGGATTCGGATTGGCAATCACCAGGGTCTCCAGGGACACAAAACTCACATTTCTAGCCAGGGTGCTGTTGGTTTTGTCCAGAAGAGATGACATCTCTCTGGTAAATAGACAAATATAAACTACTTCCTAAAACTGGAGGCTAAAGTCCTATTGAAAGTATCCACTGGATCTTACAGTGGGAAAAGAGTTTGAAACTTTCACGAGGCTCCAGAAGAAGCCACCTCAAAAGCAAAGCAGTTTCTGCCACCCTCCTGAGGCTCTGTGCCCCGTAAGAAGGTTGTGATATCTGGATGCAGACAGTCAGAGATGAGAAACTGGCCAGAAGTTTAAGAACAAACCACATCAAGTAGTTCAAGGGAGTGCTGGAAACTGAAGTTGAAAAAAGAGAGCACAACACTGAGGGGAGAAAATACTGAGCCTGGAGAGAGACCTATCAATATTTGGGCTAATGCAGAAGGAAAAATTCAGATAAAATTTTAGGCAAGCAAACAGAACATTGGAGTCATTCTTGGTCACTAGAAATCTTAAACACCAATTTCAACAGCTACTGAAAAGGGCGCCCTATGCTGATGTGATTTCACCAGGGCCTCGGCTTCCCAGGGCAAGGAACGATCTTTTGAAAAGAAATGTCAGAAATGCAACTCTGCTGACTGGCACATTCACAGCGTGGCCAACGGGGAATTTTTTCGTAGTGTTCAAGGAACCTAAAAAGGAGCCAAGCTAATTTTATTACTTCCCTGTTTGTTCAAGATTGTCCCCATTGATTCCGGTGTTCCTTTGGAGACCAAGCGCAGGCACCAGCCAGCAAGGAGCAGCCAGCAGAGGGAGCGCAAAACCTCGGGTTGGCTCAAGGTGGAACGCGAGGCCTTCCCGGGCACCGCGCGAGCGGAGCCAGAGCCAGGGCCGGCCGCGGGCAGCAGGGCCGCTGTGTTGCTGCATGTGGGGAACTCTCCTTTGGCTGCAGCGGTGCCGTCGGCGCCTCCTCGGGCTGTGCTTCTGCCACAAGCTGTGTCCACCCCAGCGCATGAGCCTGGAGCCCCGAGGTCAGTCCTCACAAGGACGCAGGGGAGACGCGACCCGCCAGGCTGCCGCCACCTGGCCACCTCTCCCTGCTGCTGCCACCCAAAAGCAGGCACGTCAAGTGATGCTTGCGAGGGGCAAAAAGAGAAGCTGTCCCAGAAGAGCGATGAGCTCCAAGCACTTTGGTACTCGGATAAAGCAACCACGACACCACCACCAACGCTGCTCTGCATTACCACAGCCAGACCCCCGGTACCCTTCCCCTCCCCTTCTCCCACCTGCCTCGCTTCCGAGAACGAGCACGGTTTAATTCAGGAGCGCCTCGCCTTTGGTATCCGCCCCACTGATTTTAAATGCCACAAAGGCAAAGCGCAGGCAGCCGCAGGGGACGCGGGCCCGGGGCTGAGGGCAGCCGAGGGCAGCGCGCTTACGTAAGGAGCGCGGCGGCGCCGAGCGCCGGCGTCGCAGCGGGAAGGGAAAGCAGCAACGAGGGGCTGCAGCTGGGGAGAGGAGCCGGGGGCTGCAGCTGTTCTCCTATTCCCACCGTCAGCTCCCGCAATTTGCGTTTAGCTCATTGTTTAGGACATAAATTAAAGAGTCCTGGCATTGCCAACATCTTAGATCATTAATATCCTGCTTTAATGACCTTTTTTCCTTTGGGAAGGTTACACGGCGTGCAGCTTGCGATCCCTGCAGCTCAAAAAGCCGTCTGCTCGACTGCTCTCCCAGATTTTCTAGCACAATGCCAGGCTTTTCACATTTACATTGTGTCATCAGCAGAAAGCCACCCTGTTATTTCTAAATTTGTGACAAGATTAATGCACCCTCAGAGCCACTTGAGCGCTCACTTTATCAGCGAGGGCAGGGGCTGAGCTCCCAGCCGTGCCCGGGAGCAGAAGCGCTGCCGGTGACCTTGACTTTGCACGAGCACCGAATGGGGACCGCGCGTGCGGGCTCTGACGCTGCACATTTCTCCCAAACCGGCACTTGCTGATTCACATAGCGGCCTGGGGCAGCCACCATGAGAGAAGACGTCAAGTCGCAGAGCCAAAGAGACGCAATTTGAAGACGCAAGGAACGCAACCCACTTCTCCACGGGCTTTTTCTTTGGGTCGCGTTTTGGCTCAGCTACCATGAGGGCCCAAAGAAAGGCCCACATGTCACACACGTACGTCCCAAACACGATGGGGGACAGGGATGTATCTTCTGGCCGATTTATATACCACAGGTACATGGCAAAGCATTGAGGCAGCCGTGGGTCAGGAAATCCCACCAAGAGGGGGCATTTCCAACTTTCTGAACCCACCAGCAACATCTTTAATTTGTCTTGGTGCAATTTTAGCTGATGGCAGACGGATGAGCACTGCTAGTCCCATGCCTGTGTATTGAGAGCTTATATGAAGCAACAGTTAGGGGCAAGAGGGGAAAAAAAATTAATTTAAACCACCCAAGAACATGCCAAAACTGTCTGACACTACAAGAAACATGGAGACGAAGAGGGCCCCTGGTTCCAGTGCTGAACATGGCCCCGTAAAGTGTATTTTTCACTCAAAATACGAAGACAATAATCTATGCGGGGGGGAGGGGAGAGTAAGGATTTAAATAGATTTCATCTTGATGAGACAAGTGAACTAAGATTTACAGTTCAACTGCTAATTTGTCAGCTCCAGAAAAAGGAAAGATTAAGGCATAGAGCCTTGTTTGAAAGAGTGACAGTAACGATATATTTGAAATCATTATTAACATTACTTAACAACAAATGTAGAAGGACTGGCTTTCTTCCTAGGTGTTTTCAGTTACTCATAGACACGGGAGTTTCAATGAAAAATAATACACCACCTTCTTTCAATACAGAGAAAGCAATAGTAATTTTCTCAAAAAATGATATTAAAGGTCTATTTCACTATTTTCTTGATTAACCTATTTGGTTTATTTAATATGAATCTGTTCCCAAAATATTTTGCTAGAGCAGTTTATCACAGTTTTCCTAACGCAGTGACAGAGTCACAAAGCACAACACTTGAGGAAGCAAGACAACAGTACAAACAATTAGTGGAATGGCTGCTTATTCTTTTAGTTTAAAATACAGGCCAAAATGATTTCAAAGAGGGCACATAAATCAGGGTAGCTTAACAACTTTCCAGCCACTGTGTGTGGATGACATGGGACTTACACCTGTATTAACAGGATTATTCCAATTCTTTTTGTCAGTTGTTTACCATACGGTGAAGTGATGGTCCAGACATTTTTTTTTCTTTTTTCTTTTTTTTCCTGGCAGGGTGATATGTTAGCACCGCAACAGGAATTCTGACAGTACTGTATTTCTTTCATGATTTGCCTGATGAGCTCAGCAAAGATGTAGTGGAGCCAATTCAGCATCATCTGTGGTATTCCGCACAAATCTGTATCATTATTTTATTCCCATCCAAAATGAATCTGAACACATTTGCCCCCAGATGACCGAAACACTTAGCTTTAATATCACTGACTTCTGGGATTTCATTTACTTTGACAATTTTAGTCCAGAACAAGCTTCTTGGCACAGTTTCTACTGTGGGGACAAGGCTTCTGACCTAAGCAAAA